CACATGAGTATCATAATTAACAGCTCTCGCGATCACCGCCCTGGTTGTAATTGATGCATTGATGGCTCGTCTGTCGGCGGCCGAGCGTTAAGTCGCCGCAGTCTCATCATTCATGGGAAATGTTGGCGTGATGGTTACTTGGCTATTTGGAATGAGCTGCCGCCTGAGAGCTAGCGTCTTTCCTCTTCATAGGTGCTGCGTGCTCGGCCATCCGTATACAGAGTGATCCCTCATTTTCTCCGGGAACATGCTTTTCATTTATTCTTCTCACATCATTCGTCTGGGCCGTATTATGTTCAGACGTGATATGACGACGCAATTTTCTCTTGACTATAATCAAGCACCGCTGAAAAATACTAATGTTTCAGAAGTCCGGTTGTTCCTACTACCATGGTGAGTGAATCCTATTCGGTGTCACCTATATCCTCGGCGTCTCATAATGAGGGCATTCCTTGTGCAAAATTGGGAAATCTCTACCCACGAAAAATTATATTTCGCCCAAACTCATTTTTACCTTATTAACCATCATTAGCCCGCGGTTGGACTGTAGGAGGTTCTCCCCCACTTAACGAGTAGTCCGACCGTGAAATTCGTTGCCGGGGGTAATGGTGACGGTTGACACAATTTACATGTTGGGAAGAAAAACTGCTCCTCAATCTATATATATAAAAATGGAAGGGTTTTTTTCTGGGTTATATGTAATCTCCGAAAGTGCTGCACCGATTTAAATGAAATTTGGACACAACACAGCCAGCGCATAGGGCCGGCTTTTTGTAACTATGCCGATGGTATGCCTGTGATCGGTAAAAAACCGGATTTTTACCGACATAACAACGCAACCTGCTGCGGCCACTTGACCTACATCCGTGCGTACACATGTGCGCCCAGACTGTGGACACTTGACCGACATTCGCTCAAACGCACGTGCTCCACCCAACGGCCGCGCCCACCCCACCACCCACCCTGTAGGCACTTGAGCAGGCCCTCCACGCTCTCTGGGCCGATGCAATATGGGCCGCCAGAACAAACCACCCCTGGGGCACAAAAAACAGGCAACACTTGGACGCCACTTAAAATTGTCCCACAGCCCACATAATAGGGCCGTCACCGCTTACTCGGCGATTCTCGAGGGTGAGGACTGGATGCAGTTAACACCAGCCCCACACCCCCCGCACAACCCATATAATAGGGCTGTTGCCCAATATCAGCCCAGTGTAGTGCAGCTCGGCTTGCGGAAACCCGGTCGCGGTCACGGCGACCGCGTTCTGCAGCATCAGGTCTGCTTAGTTCACAACAGAATGAACAATACCAACTGAGAGTGGCCAAATGGCGCCAGCGAGGAACAGCAGACGAGCGTCAAACACGACTCCGGGCTCAGCATTCACGCTGCGCTCTGGAGAACACATTCATTGCGTGATGCTGCTGAAACGACGGCACGGCAAAACCCGTTGGAAGACTAACGATTTTGCCATCCAACATATACTGGCAGTCGGAGACCAATTTCACGCAGTATCCATTTACTTTTCGGGATGGTGCCGATGGATATCACCTCAACGTTAGGATGATAAATCCAGTCTGTGACGAGGAAACGCACATGAAATGCAGCGCAATGAACTACTACTCCTGCCGACTAATGATTCAACAGAATGTAAGTAATCCCCTTTCGAAATGCTATCAATTGCTTCATCACTGCATAGTGGATACGTATGCAAAAGTCGAAACAGGACACCTGCTTTTCATTCGCTTGAATCAGACCGGGCTGCGCTCTAAAGAATATATTCCTTTGCATGATGCTTTTGTAAACGACAGTAATACAACTAACGTTGTAGGGCTACTAATTTTGTCCTCCACACACACAGACAGTCCATGCGTAATATGCTCGGGTACGCTGGAGGTGAAATTGCTTATGTTTGTCAGTACGGACGTCCAGACCTACTCATTAAATTCACATGCAATCCACTTTGCGGGGATATTTATCAGACCTTACTTCCTGGGCTATCGCTGGTGAATAGGTGTAACATCACAGCACGTGTTTTTAAGAAGAAACTGAAATCGCTGATGAACTTCATGGTGAAACACGAGGTGTTTAGGTCTGTGAGCTGCTAGATGTATTATGGGGAATGGCAAAAGATGGGCACGGCCCCACGCACATGCCCGGATCTGGCTCTACAACAAGATCACTTCCAACGAAATCGCCGATGAAATATGCGCTGAATTACCTGACGCCGACGTCGACAATGATTTGCACGCAGTCGCGGCGATGAAAACCATCAGGGAAAGGCGTCGGCAAATTGACAACCGTACGAATACGAATCGGTGACGTGCAAGTCGGTAATTGCTAGGTTGTTTCGTATTCGTCTTTGCTCTTAAAAGCAAACGAAGCTCACAAAAACGCGGAAAACCGCAATTCCAGGAAATGAATTAGGTACATTTGTAAGTACGTGAATAAAGGCAGCGACATGGCCGTTTTCGGTCTGCAACACGAAAGGAGGGGGAGGGATGTGGACATACAACTCGATGAAATCGCGCAGTACAGTTAGAGAATGTGCAATGCGTTTACTTTACAGCTGTAAATGTGCAATAGGTTGCCTTAGATCTACCGGCAACAACATTAACTACGTTCTTTACGTTAAGCCAAAATGACGCGTTTGCAAAAACACTGCTGTATATATGTATATTTTATATTGAAGGGTTACAGGCAGAGCCCTTGATGACCCTATATATGTACAGTGCTTTCGCAGATTCATACTCAAAAATAAAATAAAATTGCAGGCATTTAAAATGTGATTGTGTCACAGTTCAATCGTAATCATAA